TTTTTTTACAATTAAATCTGTGGCTAGGGGTCCAACCCCGGAAATTGTAATTTACAATTCCTGCCTCCCCCTAGGTTAAGCCATGGGTGATCTGCACACGCCGCTTCAACTCACGCAGCCGCCCCATGGCATCTCGCCGGAGAGCCTGAAGCTCGGTGCACCGACGCGCAGCCAGCTCAGCCGCGAAGAGAAGAGCTCATCGTCCAGCGACGGGCATTGCTCAATCGAGTAGGGCTGCGCTCGCTCCAAAGCCAGAGTGAAATGATGGTCCGGCTCAAGACTATATCGTAGCAATGGCGGCAACGCGGCTTTAATTCTGTGCCAGAGATCCCACCTCACGGCCCTCGACCGCACGCTGCCACTGCGGCGCCTGCTGCCAAGGCAACTGCGGCGCCAATGGGCCGTCCCACTCGAGCGGCGGTCACTCTGACAGGTTGTAAACGGAGGGAGGTTCACTCCAACATCGGGAAGCTGAAACTTTGCAAGACTTCTGCAGGGAAGAGCTTGCCGACCCACCAGTGCCTCCTGCTGGAGACCGCCGGAATCGGGCTGGTGGGCTAACGCTGCCATTTCTAGGACAACCGGACTCCGTTCCTGCCTTCGAAAACCAACCCAGCCAAAACATCAGCTTCACAGGCCACGTGCAATGGCAATCACATACCAAACTCGACCCTGCCATATTCGTGAGGTCATGGCTCAGCTGAGTCATGATGTGCTCGGCATACCAGGCCAACCACTCGTCGCGGCCACAGTTGTTGCCTGGCCTGGCACAAAAGGGAGCCCACCGGCAATATGTGACTGCACCGTCATAATGCAACCCGGGCTAGCTTCCCATTCTTGTCGTCAACCACGGCCCTGGTCGGGGTCCTCAGGTTCTCCTCCGGGGACACCGGCCGAAGACCCAAGCTCATAGTCAAAGGAGCCATCGCCCATTCACGGAGCGAGCGAGGATCAAGCGCTTGCCAGTGCGCGCGCCGCCCAGCGCGAGAAGGGATGGGGTGCCACTGTCCGATGCCACGGGCCACGGGAGCATGCCTTGTGCTGTGTAGTGGTGTTTTGGCATGAAGGGTGGGGTGAACCGGCTTACCAAGTCTACACCGGCCTTCTGTTCGGACTGCCTCTGGTCGTCACCTCCTTAATAGGTGGAGCCGATTTGTCCAGGCAGCAGGGCGGCGCTTGACTTTAGGCTGGTGTCCGCTTACTTCGATGACTCCCGGATTTCTGACTGGTGCTCGGCCAAAGGCTCAGGGCAATGGGCGTACAATTGCCTCAACGAGGGGGGGCACCCCACTCGGATCCTTTTTAGGTCTTGAGTTCGACTTTTCCTCTGCTCTCTCACTGGAGGCTATGTGTCCGTCGTTGTTCGGGCCAAGCTCGTGGAGAAAGTGGGGGATCTTGACACCCTTCGGGCGGGTGCAGCAGCGAAGCAGTATGGCATGCTCAATTTCCTCGAGCTTGGCATGTTCGGGCGAATGGGAGCCGGAGGACTGACAGTTATTAAGGACGGCCAGACGGATAAGGGTGTGACCCTTACCCCAGCGCTCATGGAAAGCCTCCACATGGTAATGTCGGTATTGCAGGTCCGTACGAAGGGGCAGTATGACATCAGTATGATTTTGGATGGCGATCATATCGGAGGCTCCCGGCCGCGAGTCACGCGGCCGAGGACATGCCAGGTCACGGCAGAGGGGATTCACCCTGGTCCTCTTCGACTCTGTCGACTCTGTCCAACAGCGGTTTACCATCATTTCGAGGCCGGTGACCACACAATCGCCCAATTGCTATTATCCTCTATGCGGTGACCGCGCGGCCCAATGCGTTTCATGGAAGGCGTGGCTGGTTTAAAGGCAACACGGCGGCACTTGTGGCATTGATACGGGGTCGGGACCGCTCAGCCTCTGTCGATTTGGAGCGGCTCTCGCAATTCATACATCTTTGCCCTTTTGCATTGTCGATTTCACTTTTCTGGGAGTGGGTGCCTTCCAAATCCAGCTGGGCAGATGCCATTTCATGCATGGGCTACTCCGACCCCTGGTATGTGGCCAACGGCCGTTCTTCGTCGCCTTCTTTTTTCCCCATCCACTTTGGACGTTCCCTTCCAGCGAGGTTATCCGAGTGGTGCAGTCTTGTAGTGCTTTGGGTGTAATTAGTGTCATGAGTGCTTTGGGTGTCAAAGTGAAGCAGGCCGGTCGGGTGTTGGGCGCGGTGTTGCCGCCATAGGTGTGGCTCATAGGCTTCCTCTCTGTGCATATCCCGGGAGCATCTCGGGTTGTACAACACCACGATCGGAGCCGCACGAGTGAAAGAAAATGAGAGCGTCGCCGCGTGCTTTGAGTAGACGCCGGACTGATCAGGGATGAGATGTTGAAACCATGTTCGTTTGACCGGTTGTAAGCTGAATTTGTAGGTCGCTTTTCGGTAAAGTTCTTGTACGCTGAGTAACTGTTGATGCTATGGGGCTGTAATTGGGTTCGAGGTCTGTCCATGTAGACGATTGTGGATTCACTCCATTGGACAAGCAAGACTATGAGATGGTGCGACAAGTGACCTTTGCAAAGAAGAAGCAGAAGGCGAGGATGCAGATTCGAGATTGCAAGGGTGTCGCGCCCATTGCATAGTCTGCCCTGACTTGTTCTAGTCTACAGGCCATGGAACAGTTGCTGCGCAAGTTCTACAAGAAAGGACCAGCAAAACAAAATCTCTTGATCGCATTGCCACGCCCGCAGTATCTCCCACAAAGTTGCTGCTGAGAGGAAGCTGGAAAAATGTGATAAGCCTCGGTGACGGGCCAGCAGAGCGCCAGGCTCTGCAGGAGCCGCTTGGAAGCAAAGAACGCAGAAGTGCTGGAAAGAGCGCGGAAGCGACTCGACTGAGGATCGGATTCCGCCACATGAACCCAGCAAGTCCCAAAACGGGAGAGCAAAAGTCCTTCAGAACGAAGTCTGCTTGAGACTTGGGTCGTCTCGAGTTTGGTGTTTTTCTTGCGTGTGGAGCTATGCAGAGCCATGCATAGCCATGCCCATGACTTGATGCAAAGGTCAAGATGCTGGAGGCCAATGGGCACGACGGTTGTTCGGGTCCTTGCAGCGCGGGCATGGGTTCGTAAAGGCGAGGACGAGCAGACAAGGCACTTGGCTCTAGAGAAATCAGGAGAGGTGAGGATGCGCCGAAATTGAGGGTCTTCCCCAGCCAGTGTGCGAGCATCATCGGTATTTTCAAGCTTTCGTTTCTTGTGCTCGGGAGCCGTCATGCCGAAGCCGCCTCCGTAGATCTTCTACGGCCTATCAGCATGAATCGCAATGATTACAGAAGCGTTCTTCCTTCGAAGCCCATCGGATACTAACACAAGTTTCGTCATGTCGAGCTTCGCTCGGTCGAGATGCAGCATTTCATGTTGGATCTTGCATGATGTTGCGACGGCGGATCAAAGCCACTTCGTCGGCGCAGCCTCTCGGGCTCAGCCGAGTCGGTGAGACGCGCCCGGCGAGCTCTGCTTGCAGGAGCCGGCTTGCTCTGAGCTCATCGCGGAGCTTCAAATGGTGCAAGCCTGGCTGCCTGCGTTGGCATCTTTGGATGACGACGTTGACATAGATCTTGCTGAAGGACGGGTTCTCGGCAGATCTTGGCAGTGTCGGCGCAGTGCCGCAGTCCAAGCGGCCGAGGCGAGGAAGCGCTGCTAGACATGCATCAGCAACTAATGGATGTTGCGGTGGGCTTAGCTGCCTGCACGGGCCAGACCGGGGATTGGCAGCATTGTACCTCCAGCAGCAAAGTTTCCATGAAGGTTGAAAGCGGCTCCAGATCAACAAGTCCAGACAGTTCCGCCAGGACCACGGCCAACTTGCAAACACTTGCTGTTCCCAAAAAGAGCTTAGTTCGCTGTTGAACGCTATCAGTGCAAGTGCCCTGTCAACCTGTTGCCAGTTGATTGCGGCGCGCTTCTACCACTGAGTGAAGAGGGAAAGACACCATTTGCACAGTTGAAGTTGCCTTCGTGGCTTCTCTTTGACCTAGTGAATTGCCAATTGCATGTTCCGCTGGCTTCGAATGCCTCGCCGACCAGCAGGTTAGGGTCTTCTTCATCTTCTGCACCCTTGCAACTGTTTAACTTTCTCCGCCAGCAGCGGAGCGGCCCTCAAACGAAGAGGGACTTTTCCGGCTTGTGAATTCGATGAAGGAGAATCGCCGTCCGATTTTATTCTCCTGCAGGACGAGTGGGATGTCCAGGCACCGACGACACGACGGGAAGTGCAGGGCACAAACACAGCAAAGTTAGCCAAGGCTTGCAGCTTCCGACACAGTATAATGTACCTTTGCCATATGCAGTACCCGTGGACTTTAGCGTTTGGTGCTGATGCTGGTAACCGAGGTCAAAAGGGGTCGATCTCTCCAACACTCCCGACAACGTACCAAACCTTGACTGGCAATAGCAAAGTCGGAGGGCAGTCGGCTGACCTTAACCACATAACGAGCGTAGACAACCAGAATTAGATCCCACAAAAAAGCGAACTTGAAAACGCACGTTAAACCCCGAAGCTGAAACCGGAACCTTACCGCTCAGCAGCAAGCTGAGTACCATTGGCACTGCGTCCTTTCCCAGACACTCCAAAGCGACAGGGTATTTGTTTGCTACATTGCGACAAGACTTCTGACACCTTCTCCAAAAGCCTTTTTTGGCGGCAGGACTGTCCGAGCAGACATTTCGGTCATATTCTTTCAGTCGTACCTTTTGCCTTGCCTCGATCTGCAGCATTCTGCTTACAAGAGTTATGCAAGCTGTCGACGAATCATTCGAATCAGCTGGGCATGTCATCTCAAGTTGAGGGCATGTGCTAGACGAGAAAGGCTTTATCAGTTTGTCATGCTCCATTTCTTAAGTCTTATCGACCTAGACAGCTCTTTTGTCAGTACCAGGCGGCAGCAGCATCACTCCAAGTACCAGCCAGAGGGTGTGCCTTCCTCGCAGCCTTTGTGTGGAATGAGTCGCAGTAGTGAGCCACATGAAGTATGCACAGTTTGTGATGGGACCGGCCGGCTGTGGCAAGCGCTAGCCTCACAATCGGATTCATGCACTAGTAGCCTGTTAATGTCTATGCTGTCTGCATCTCTCTGCTGTCACGGTATTTTTAATGCCAATTTGTCGCCATTCCACTCGCGAGGTCCACATACTGCGCAATCGTTCAGGAGCCATAGAGCGCTGGCCTTGCCCTACCGCAATCAAGCCGATGTGCAATGCTACAGTCTGTCTAGTGGAGCTCGACAGCAAGAGGAGCACTTCAAAGTTGCATTGAAACGAACTTGCAGGCCTGTCACGGGCCATGTGTTCTGTGCTTCAGATGCCTTATATTGCCTTCTGCTGCCGAGGGTGGTGAACTTAGACCCTGCCGCAGAAAACTTTGCTTACGACTGCTATGTTGACGTGCGCTCCAGACATTGCAGGTAGATCGCGCAACAGACGCTGCGCAGTTCCAAAGCATGCGGTCATATGGCAGGTACGTGATTTGATTTCAGTGGATGACGTCATGGAGGTGCTTCGTCTTTCTGAAGCTCTGCCAAAGGGTCAATTCACGGGACATGGGGCATGCGGCTTGTTGGATTTCAAAGAGGGAGAGTGGAAGGAGCTTGACTACGGACCCAATGGCGGGCTTGTCTATGCCATGGAGTACCTGTCGGAGAACATGTCTTGGCTGGAGGCTTCCCGGGATCCTCCATGACATGCGGCAACTAGCAATTGCGTGATCAGGAGCAGGTTAGCGATGCATTAGATGATGACTACTACATCTTTGACTGTCCTGGGCTGCGGTCTCAGAGCAGTGAATCTTGTGCTGGTTGAAGAGCCAGCTCGGCCTGCAACCAAAGCTTGGACTTAGAACCTGCTGTGCCTGAGGCAGATCGAGCTGTACTCGCACTTGTCGGTGATGCGGGAGGTCGTTGACATGTTGCAGAACGAGGCCGGGCCAGGCCATGCCAGGCCCAGGGCGCAGGCGGGAAAGTTTCGCGCTGCGCAGGACTTCCGAGTCGCTGGAGTTTACTGCATCGACGTCAACTTCATTGAGGCCAGGCTGGGGGGCGTCGAGCATCGCAGTTGCTTGACAGTCTCGCCCCGAGGACGGTGCAAAGTTTCTTTCGGGGGTCTCAGCCTTTCTGCGTGACGATGGCTGTGTGCTGTTTTGTGCTGTCCGGTGCGCTGAGGGCCTGAAGGGTTGAAGATCGAAATGAGCATCTGCAAACATCTGCCAAGTTGCGGCACGTTTGCCGCCCCAAGGCTTTGACAGCCTTAACTGCGATGATCAACCTGGAGTTGCCATGTGCACAGCGAAGTGTCATTGCACATCAGAGAGAAGGCTTTGCGCCGAACTTCAGATGGAATCAATCGCAGAGTCTCCCCAATTTCACTGTTTTGTGTGCTTGGATACGTGGAGATGCTGGAAGCAATGGCGCTGCCGAGGCCCCACATCAATGTGCTGACGAAGTGCGACCTGCTTCCGGAAGGGGCACGCCTTCCTATTGTGGACTCAGTATCATCGTAATCGGCTCGTGAGGGAAGTGTCACTGCACCCACAACAAACAACAAGAATTAGAGCAGAGAGCAGCAAGCAGTAGCTGCAATTACATGCCAGGCGGATGTGGAACGCTACATCGAAGGCGACTCTGAGGTGGGAAACCCATCAGCTTGGCCAAGCAAGGCGTCGCCAGCTGTGCCGATGTTTTTCACCCTGTGGAGGCCATCTTGTCAGAGCTCCGTGGGTCCATGCATCCCAGGCCAGATGCGGCTGTGCCGATTATGTTTTGCGGTTTGTTTCAGTATCGAGGTATCGGAAGCTCAACGAAGCCCTCGGGCAGGTGCTTGAAGAGTACTCTTTGGCATCTCGGCAGCTCGTGCTGTGCTTCGTGCCTGCTGCAATGTTGTTGCTTGAGGTGAGTTTCGTCGCGCTCAATCGGGACGACGAGGCTTGGGCTCCCAAGTCTCCCTTTTGCGGGGGCTGCTGTGTCCGATTGTGTCCTGCGGCCCTGCGCTTCAACCGAGGGTAGTACTGGCAGTAGCACTGGTGAAACTCCGGTTAGGATTCGATCGAGCTGTGCCTTGCACATATCAATCATTGCGCCTCGTCTTCAGTTCTTGCGACATTTTAGTAGTAACCGTTGGTCCCAGAAGCTGCGGGTTCAGGATCTAGGCTTCCATTTTCAAGCAGACGTCCTGGACTGAGGTATCCAGTATGGAGAGAATCTGGAGCCAGAAGGCAGTCGATCCAGCAGTCTTGCTCATTGAATTCGAACTTCGAATCATCAGCTGGGTGTGACTTCATGTCTCTGCAGGTTGATAACTTTCCTCTCATCTTCGCTTTGTTCCAGTACTGATCAGTATTGGTATTGCAGGTGCCTTCGACATGCCTGATGACGACATGGGCTACGATGACTGAAAATCGGTTCGAGTGGTGAGAGATGTTCAGAAGATGCAAGTCTACTTGGACGGCAATTGGGGTTGTCAGTTCTCGCTTATCTGACATTGGCTTCAGCAAATTAGATGAGTTGCACGAACTCGACATTGGAAGCTTTTGCGACATCTCGACCCGAACAGCCCACGCTCAAGCCATGGCCAGCCAGTAGCAAGAAGGCCTGCTTCAGTCCCACACGGTTCAGTGCGATGCTAAACTTTTGGAAAGCATCTGACTTCAGCACAAAGGTTTCTGCCTCTGACTCTCTTTCCAATGATCTCCCTGCCATGTCGCGGGATATCGTCAGCAATGAGCATGCGACTTGCGCCGGTGCCCTTGGCCTCGTCGAAGACGAGCCAGCTTCTGGTCCGCAGATTTCGCCGGGTTTGAGTGTTTGTTTGAGGGTTGCGGAAACCCACGTTTGACGGATTCGGATTTGATGGATTTGATTGGGGTCTCCACGGTCGGAGTGTACTCCTATCAGGTGCTACATCTTCGAGTGCGATCAGCACATCCAGGTCAGCGCGATGCAGACTGTGTCAACCTCGCCGTGAGAGCCCCAGTTGCATGGTTTTTCTCGGCTTCTCGAATGCGCCAGCTTAATCTGAGGTCATGCCCTTCAACACCTGCAATATGATAAAAGCACGCTTAAAGGCCTGGTAGCCATTGAATGCCATTGGTAGCTGCAGATTCTGACTGAGCGGATAATGTCGTGGCCCAGCCAGGAACAGCGCCGTGGCCTAAAAGCTTCTTCCTGAGATCTGTTGCGGTTGCACATGCTGCAGAAATTTTCAGTGTAAATGAACTTAGTCTGCGCTTTTTGACAAGACTTGCCGGCAAGGCTGTGCGCGACAACGATATCAGGACCGCCTTCATTTTGTTATTGTAGTGATGTGAGCACAATATTGACTTTGTAGCACGTCGTAGTGCCAGGCTACTGCACAAGGGCATCGAGCTTCGTGGGGGTTATCCCGTGGATTACTACCTTCACAGTGCGAATGCAGAGAGGCGGCTCCGGCGTGTTGACGTCATGGTTCTTGCCGCGTCATGACACACCTGCGACAGTCCGGCCGAGCTCCAATACCTCATCATCAATCACGCGGCAGAGAAGAGCAAGACGGCGCAGGCCCCCATGCTACCCACAACAACAACATGATGTTTATGCCACTTGCAGTCCGTAGTTACAGATCTGTATGCGACTGCCACCGCCCTGCTTGCATCAAGGCACGGGACATTGGCCTGTACACCGCTCATCAAGTCCCCACCCCACAGACGTTACAGGACTTGGCCGCGCTCTTACAGCACTCGCGCACACACACACACATGCCGAGCAGAACTGTGAGACAAAGTGCACTCCGCTGGAAGGTGGCAGTCATCACAGATGCATTGCAGGGCGGAATTAAACCTTCGCTGACTGACGATGGAACGGGCGCGACGCGCAACTGGCTTGTTTAAAAGCGACTTCTTAAGCACCTTCCAAGCAACGTCACATGTCCCATCATGTCCCAACTTAGCAAGGTACATGCTTCGCGGTGCCTCATCTCCGAAACCTCTGGCTGTGCCGGCCGCTTACACGTTGTGAAGCTGATGCAAAAGCCTTTGATGGAAAAGACCACTTAGACACAATGAATCGTGTGACAGCGCATCTAGACTCTACAGTTGGCTGACTTCTTTTGCTTGGCTATGGTGTTTAGAGGTTTCATGTGTTGCTGCAGGTTCAAGCCCAAAGACGAGGAAGCGTTTGCCCCAAACAATCCACGAGGCTATCAGGGAAAGGACCCTGGCAGTTGAGATGCACGCCCATGGCAAACTGCACTGTCCTCACGGGCAGGAGAACTCTGTCGGCCTGCGGCCTGGCATCCTCTCCACGCAGCAAGCTGCCCGCGAGGTGCTGGCTGTCCCATTCCCACTCTGCCTTTGCAGCTACGACATGGCGGCTTGCCGGCAGGTTGCGGCATTTCTGCTTGACCACAAAAATTATGCGGGAGTGCCTCAAACTACGTTGGTGCGCCATGCGACCGATTTGCGAATTTCTGGTGTTAGTGTCCCACATGAATGAAGACTGCGAGGTACATGCCAAGCATGAGAAGTTCGTCAATCCTGACAAAAGCAAGGCTGGCTGCGCAGGGGTCATGGAGCTGTCCTTGAAGCTTTGCTCCAGTACGTGCTTGAAGTTCTGAAGCCTGAAGATGCAAATGCTGGAAATTCAATAGAGAAGCTGACGCGGTCCTCGATTGGTTTCCGTCAGCTTATGTTGCAGCTCTCGCTTCTCTCCGCTGTTTCTTTCGTGATACGGTTGTAGAGCCTGCTCTGTCACAGTTGTGGGCGGTTCATGGCGGAGCAATAGAACTGCTTGAGAGCGTTGTCGGCTAGAGCTTTCTGTGTGTTTAGAAGGGAGGTTCAAGATTGTTCAAGCCTGGTTGAATCGTTACATGTTTTGCACCCTCCTGTCCTCGTCGCACTTCCGTCATTCCGCCTGCAAGCAACATTATGCGAGGGTCACAGACGGAATTGTTGAGTTGACAGTGCCGCCAACAAGCCAACGCCTCCTACAAGGTTGTTCTTGTGGTTAGTAATGCTAGAGTAGGGTCCAAATGGGAGCAGGTCTGCAGGACCAATCTTCGAGTTTAGCTTCACTTGTTTTGTGGCCTTGTCTACCGCTTGATCCCTGGTGAAGTCAAGCCCTATATCAGAACCAAGCGCATTTAAATTGCGAGGACTAGCGAAGCTCTAAGCCCTAAGGCCCTAAGCCCTAAACCATCCTCAAACCCCGATACTTGGCACCTTCCGCGTGACTGAAAGTTGAGAGATGTCGCGACCTGTCTTCGCAGCTGTGATCCGCTTGGAGGTTGAATGGAAAGTTGGAGCGTTCCAAGAATTTGTGAATTCATGTGGCACCTCTGGCGACTTCGGGATGTCAGTGGGGCGCTCACCTTCTGGAGTCTCAGTCTGCATGGACTTCGAAATGCACCGAGGTCTTTAGCGTTTCATCTGTGCATAGAATTGGAATCCTGGATGCAGTGGACTCAGATCTAGCATGGTTACGTAAACGCCCGCAGGAGCTAGGTTTGGGGGAGGTTCCGGCCTGGCCGGAGGATACCATAGGAGAGAAGTGGGCTCTGTCTCTTAGCGCCTGGAGTTGTTATGTGGTAGCTCGAAGCTCATGCAGCGATCGACTGTGCCAATCCTTTCCGATTTGTGGCCTGCACCGTAGATCCCTCGCCTTGCCCACTCCAGCTTCCATTCGTCTGCCGTGGGTGCAAGTGATGCACTTGTCATTGCCAGTACTAGTAGCTAGTATCGACCAGAATGCAAGCTGCGCTCCGAGGTCCGGATCATTAATTTGGACAGAAACGACGGTAACCTTCTCGTTACCGAGAGCAAGAGGCATTCCGCTTCTTTTCATTGGCATACGAGCATACGAAGCGCTTCTTGAGCCAGGCCGAGGCTCATACCCATTGATCATGGCCTGTCCCTCCCCGACAGACTGGAGGCCTTCTGATGCCTGGCGCCTCGCGTCATGCGGCGTGCACTGATAGTGCACTGGCGGAGGTATATACATCCGATGTGGTTTGGATGGACTGGCCGCAGGAAGGGACCTTGCTGGCGGAGAGTCGTAGTTCTTAGCTGTGGAGCCAGGCGAAGAAGCCGTTTGCTCAAGCCGAGCTGGACTACATTAGGCGTCTCGCTCTGACAATGTCTCACTCGCGTCTTCCGCAAATGGCTTGCACTTGCGAACAGGAGCCTCGAAGCGGAGAAAGACGCCAAGAACATCGAGATGCAGCTTGGAATTCGCCGGAAGCCGTGCATGAGTGCATGGAGTATGGCAGACGGCATGGCGTTATCTCTACTTCAAAGCATCTATGCTGTTCTGTGCATTCGGAGGCCGGGAATGCCTGCGCTTGCTGGAAGTGCCAAGGTCTCAGACGTGCATTGCAATATCACAGACGCATAGTGGCCTAAACTTATGCGGCTGTCCTTCGGATGGGTTCAAATGCTGCACCAAGAACGACGAAGTTACTCAAGTTCGGCGCAGACCGTGGACTTACACTTCACCAAATAGGCCGGAGGGAGATGCCATGCCCAAACTTACAGTGAACACAGAGAAGACAGGGTTCCCGACAGGCCAGATTCTTTACAGAGAGGATCCGGATGATGGGGACGGCACCCACAAACCCAGCTGTTCGGTAGCATTCAAGTCTTCTTGCGGCCGGCAGTCTCCCCGCAGAGCAGAACCGAGGTGTGCTCGAGGGGATTATCTCCAGATGTGCGCTTCTCGGAACGCTTGTCGTCGGTTCCGGAGACGAAGTTGCAAGAAGCTTTGGGAGGCGTCGAGTCTGCGCTTGCGGCCATCGGCCAATCTTCCGGAACAGTGCGCCGCTGAAATTCCGTGAAATCCTTGAAAAGAGAGCGAAGGAAGCTTGGGAAGCTTAGCTGGCGTAGTTTGCTCGTGCTTGGAGGCTTCTTCGACGGTGGAGAGCCTCGACCTGTTGTCGTCCTGGCGGCCGGAAGCGAAGGGTTTACGCCGGCCGCCTGTTGAAGCTGCGAGACGATCTTTTTTGGTCTACTTGCGAGCAAGAGAAGGTCGGCAAGTTTCTGGCGGTGGTGGACAGGATCATCAGCTGTCACCTCAGTTCTGCTTTGCCGGTAAACTTTGGATTATGAGTGCTTCCGCTCATTGGGTCAGTCCATCCCCACTACCGTCGCCGCATATCGGGCCAGGTCTGGGCCTTTTTCAAGGTTTTTTGCTTCGAAGTAACGGCAGAGAGAAGCAGAGTAGTCTTTTGCATTTTCGGCTTGTTCGCAGGCCGGCCGCCAACGGAGGGTACTTTCACACTTCTGGAAAGTGGTGAGTCTGACTCGTCGGCATCTTGGAAGCACTTTTCGTTGTTTCGCCTTCGGTTTCTGCAGTCGCATGAAGGTTTGAATTGTCCAGAGCAGCCAGTCCCGATGGAATGGGCACGAGAGCCCAGTGGTGTTTTCCCTGAGAGAGAAAACTTCGCTAATCCCTCTGGTTGCGTTGAAGAAGCCTCGCAATGCTCGCAGGGATATCTATGCAGCTTGATGGTCGCCCAATGAGCTCAGGTGGCGCATCTCAATTTACAGCTTGCTAACTGACGGCCGAGCAGATGCAGCACCACTAAGGTGAACAATCTGGAAACGAACAGATTCCGACCATGGACATCGAGTCCAAGGCAGCGTCCTGAGCACGGAGACACACGAGTGAGCTGCCTGGGCATTATTTGGAGAGTCTTCAGAAAGCAGCCCTGTGTGACGCGAGCCGGTCTCAGAAAACGCAAGCGACTTCACTCCCATCTAGTCTGAGTCCAGTTGATTTTGCTTCCATTCAAGCACTGCTGGCATTTCGTCAGGAGGACAGCCAAGACGAGCTGGCAGAAGCGCGGAGGAGAAGGTGCTGCACAATGGACAATTGCAAGACTGGGGTTCTCGAATGCTGCCAGGCGCGGCACAGCCGGCAGATACAGGTGTCTTGATATGCAAAGCAGGCCTGCTTCCTTCAGACCTTCCTCCTTGTGCCCCTGATTTCAGGCACCATCTTTCCGTCCGGCCTTCTGCAGCTCGCGTTGCAGCTAAGGAGGGTTCAGGCCTCCCCGCGCGTGCCGCACACCTTAAAGCTTGCAGCTACTCTTCTGCAGCTTTCTTTAGGCAGCGATGCATCAAGCGGAATCTTCGCAATACCTGGCCGGGGCGGTCAACACCTCATATCTTGCGCAGAGATGATGACTGCCGACTTTGGTCCACGAAGACCACAAGCCTTAGGCTTCCAGTGGCCGTCAAGGCTCGAGAAGGCGGAGACTGTGCTGGCGCACATAGTCCGCTACTGTAGTGACCACTGTGGCCGGCAATATGCTGATTGGAAGGCTTTCTTCCGCCATCTGACAGTCGAACTCTGCCGCTACATTGACAAGCATTTTCCTGCGACAGCCTTGGAGTACAAATGTCTGTGAACGATCCTTTAAGACCTGCTCATCGCCTGAAGGCAGCAGCAGAAACAGCAAGAGCTGCGGACGAGGTGAGCTGAGTGCAGAGCCTGATGCACAAAAGACTGTAGGCCTCCGAAGACAGATGATATTCGCCGACAAGAAAATCCGTAAGATAATTTCATCTATGCCCTATTGGTTGAAACTCGCAAAAGATGTCATGGTCAGCACTAGAGGGATAAAAAACAAAGATTCCTGGCGCTACCGATACTTAATATAATATCGGCCCTACAAGGATCACCAATATAATTTTCAAGAAGTATTTGCACTTTCCTCAAGATATTTCTTCTTGAGTATGACTCTAGGTCGTTAAGAAGAATATGATAAGATTATTCTACGTTCATTATAATGATTATATTGATATCTAAAGATTCGATGAATTCTGATTTGAAACGTAAAGCTAATTTGATTCTATTTTTTTAGGCTTATGAATATTTGGACTATATTCTAAAATTACATATTTATTGATTTATAAAATTGATATTAATATATTAAGTAGTTTATTTTTTTCTTTTTATTATGAAGCGGTAGATAATTGGAAATATATATTATTATAAATAACTAGATATATTGAGATTTATAAGATATTCGTGAAGATAAAGAGATATGGACGTTTCTGTTCTGTGGGTAATAAACGAAAATTCCATTTATTATTTCGGATCTAATGTATTTGTTGTTGTAAGATTTTGATTTGCAAGGGGGGGGAGGGTCTTCTAAGATAAAAGATGTGTTTTATTTTCGGTCGTGACGAAATAATATTTTTATTTCTCTTAAAATATTTACACATGACCTCGCCGGATAAAAAAACTTATATGAAATTACCTATTCCTTTTATAAGGCTGAGATAACTATTATAGATAGTTGGTGCGTAACACGATTCTTCCATCGAATATATAGGTACGCACGCCATTGGCTCCAAAGCCCTACGACACGATTTGGACACAAGAAATTCGGTTCGAACCCGTATATAACGATAGCGGGCTTAAATTACAAGCGGCCCAAGAAACCAGCAGTAGCAATATAGTAATAATGGCGATAATTCGTCCGATAACAACAAACGAAATTAGCAGCTTTCTGTGAAATTCATATATTTCATTGCCCAAATTCTTTTATTTACTACTACGTATCTTTAGGTCTAATTTTTTCTTATTATATGAAATGGCATGCTATTTCAGCCATATTAATGTCAATTTCGAAAAATAAATCATCAACCATCTTTTTTTTTAAATTCTATTATTATTAATTTATTATTATTTTATTCTAATTCGTATTTCGAAAACCACAATAATTTTTTTAAATAATAAATCATATCTCTCATAAGCAGAAATTTTCGAATTCTTTTTTTATAAATGAGTTTGGCTAAATATTATAATCAAAATAATAAAGTACATATAATTACGGATCAATATTTTATAACAAATATTTTTTAGTTTTATATT